CACCACTATAGGCGCCTCGTTTCGAGGCGCACCCAATCAGATCTCACTGCTTTAGATACGCAATTAGCCTATGCGATCCCACACGGTATTGTGTAGAGGCCTATAGATCGAAGACACTTGACCGTGTGATTCGGACGATGGTTCTCATCAAGAAGGCAAAAATAACACTTTACCAAAAATATTTATCAAAATTAGAGACATCTTGAAATGAACAAATCTGAGGGAGGTCTACTTGAAATACCTGATCTGCCATGTAGCTTCTCTTTGACCCTCAAAGCCTACTGGTCTTTTGCATCTGCGAGCAATTCCCGATACCATGGAATATACACTGTTTTTGAAAACAAGCCATGGATAACTGCAACCGACGTCAATAGAAACCAACTTGATAAAAGCATTTGTACAGTCGATTCTGTTTTCAACCCCACCCCACCCCACCCCACCCAACCACACCCCACCCCACCCTGAGAGGGAGACGTCATATTCCAGTGACATAATCTTTAAATGTCATGCATAATATTCAAACAAAATACACAAAAAGTTTTTAATCACTGTTCAACTCAAAAATACATATTAAGTAATAAAGATAGAAACATAATTTACTTAATAGATATTTCAAGGAACAAATTATGAATATATTGAGAAAATTTGATATAATTTATGATGCACACGTGTCAATATTTACTCTACACCTACATTTTAAAATAATTTCAAATGTTTATGTGAGAAAATTGCAATTTTAACAACATGAAAATACCTTAATATAAATCATAATGTGCTGATATACTATGTATATATTTCTTTTGAGACTTTAATTAGAACAGGCAATACAATATAGACGATATCACATTGGAGGTATATATAATCAATACAGGACACTATATATATAATTATGTACATTGTGGGTCAATATAAGTGGTAAATATCTAAACAGCTATGCCTTTATCTGAGTTACTGTGGTCAATGAATAATGCACTGCTGAATGCAGAGTCTTCGCTGGAACTGTCTTCCATATCTTCATGATGTACTTGTTGATATGAGTGATACTCAAAGGCTACCTTGGGCTCATTTGCATTCTCTTCCTTTAAGCAAAGCTAAGAAAAAATATAATTAGTATTATAAGTATTAACCTTTTCACAACAAATTCCCTCTTTTTTTTACAAATCCACAAAATAGTCCTGTTTATAGTCTGCAATTTCCTTGAGAAGATTGGGACAAAAATGGACACGCTTTTGGAGTAAAAACTGATTAAATTGACTAAAATGTTCCAAAATTAGGGTTCATTTCCAGAAATTGAATTTTTAAAAAACAATACAGAATAATTTGGGCAAGGAAGTCTGGTTGTGAAAAGGTTAAAAAGTACTGGTTAAATATCACAATGAGTTGCTGTTATTTTGTAATATGATAGTTCATGGATTATTCATGTCCATTATTCATGTCCCTGTTGGTTCAATAGTAAGCAAAATAGAAACTCCATTTTAAATCTGAACATCAAACAAATGCATGACAATGTGTCACACGAGGTATTATGTACTTGTAAAATTTGATTACAATCAGTAAAGGTAAGTCAGAGTTAGAATAGCATTTGCTAAACAAATTTATGTCAATTGGCAATATAAAATTTGAGAATGATTGCTTAAGACATCTCTGATATGCATGCAGCTCTGCAAGAGTATTTATTAAACCAAAATGGACATGATCAGCCATTTTGAATTCAATCTGAGAAAACAAAATAATGTGTATTAAGGTCCAATGTATATACTATTAAAGTTTGACGGGAATCTATCCATACACTATCCGGTTCTTGAAATAATGAATTCTAAACATAAAAATGGCCGCCATATTGCTATCTTGAATCTTATTGCAAAACAAATAGATGTGCATATGTATCCCAAGATGTGTGATTTGTAGGATGTTTGAAATGCGATCGGTTCAGGCATGACTATAAAGATAGGTGGGTATGCATGGATGCAAAAACGCAATCCAAACATAACTAAGACAATATTATTTTGTTCGAATTTAAGGAATTCCTGAATAGTAGCTCACCTCAAATGCCTCATTTTTCACTCCATCGCCGTTTTGTGGAAATCTTGAACGTAAAAATATAGCATGTGGCTCAACAACATCATCCATCAAAGGGGGAAACTGTCTGTTGTAGAGAACATAAAACCATATTATTATATAAGAAAATTTGACAAAAATAAATGCTTTGAGTCACAAGATTAGAGATGCTAATATCAATGTATCCATATAAACCAAATTTCGTTAAAGAAAATTAATTGTACAGTTAAATTTGTTCCAAAATAAATAAATTATTTATATATATATATATATATATATATATATATATATACACACATACATACATACATACATATACATACTTACACACACTGTAAAATGACTAATTTTCACTGGGTTTAAATTTCGCTGATTTACCATTTCAGGCATATTTAGTGGGTTTTAATTTAGCGCATTTTCCAGTCAGCGAAATAAGCAAAATTAAAATCCAGTGAATATAACCCCTTTACAGTATATATATATCAAGAAAAAAAAAGTGATTTGATGACATGACACGAGTCAATACTAGTAAATCGAGAAATATGTCAACCACTTTGAATCAGAGTTTGAAAACAAGGATGTACAAATGAGTTGAAAAGTTTGATTGCAAAGCAAATTTGTAATTCTGTGGTTTTCTGTGGGAAAACTACAGAGATAGTGACAATGAATGAAAAAAAAATGGAATGGAAGAAATGCTAGATTTGTTGATGCATTATTAACATGGCTGCCAATCGGCCATTTTGAATTTGGACATCATATGTTGTTGGTTTTTTATTGTGTTGTTAATAGATTAGTTTCTTGACCATGGACAATGTATTCTAGATACAAAGTTTTGTGTCAAATAAATTATCTATCTATGAATACATGCACATATGCTTTATGTACAGTCGTATAAAAGTTTGAACAATAGCTGTCCATATATGACAGATCTGGAATGGTAGAAATGCTTATTTGTTGATGCATTAATTAACATGGCTGCCAATCGGCCACTTTGAATTTGGACATCATACGAATACATGCACATATGTCTTATGTACAGTCGTATATATAACAGTTTGAACATGAATAGTCAAGGCATGCGAGAGATTCGAAAAACAAAACAAAGTGTATCAAGGTCTAGTTATGTCCAATAAATGTACCAAGTTTAAAGATAATTTATCAATGTTCAAATTTATTGTGTAATGTACATTATTCAGTTCTCTCATACCTCTTAGGAGGAAGTAAAGGGAAATAAACATTATTATTATTATTATTATTATTATTATTAATACGCGATGTAGATTTAGTCATGAAATGTGGCAGCAATGTTTAATTTTGCTTCATTTGAAGTACAGAAATGGCGGCTATTTGATCATCTTGAATCGGATCATGGAATCAATGGACGTGCACGATATATGTATGAAGATTGAATATGATCAGCCCAGGCATGTTCAATGGAACGCACACGCACACGCGCACGCGCACGCGCACGCGCACGCACACTACAAGTTTGTGTTTTAAGACTAATCAATGACAAGGACTTGCCTTCTTTTTCTGTAAAACTTCACAGCAATTGTAATAAAAGTTGCGAGTATAATACAAATAATGATTAGACCAATTGTTACCCATGCAATATCTGGAAAGAAAATGTAGTATTCATAGATTGTTATGTCAGGACCCCTTTTTTGATATACATCCTAAATATTGATGATTTATTATTTGCACTATGAATATTTCTGTCAACACCATATAGTTTCAGTAACCTAAATAACATTGCCAAGTACATGCAAGTTGCTGACAGGTTTGTGATGTGCATCTTGATATCATTTCACGATTGGAACAAGTTGCGCCAAAGCAACCTCAACAGGATACGCCAAACTAATACTGAAGGACATAATGATTTATTAACAGAAGAAGCAATTCCCATTCAATTTATTTCATCTAGTCATAAAAACTGCTGTATGACAAATAGCAAAGTTATCCTCACACATCAGGACACAGTTGCTGGAGAGTGTAATACATTTATATACTGAAGCAGGCTCACACATCAGGACACAGTTGCTGGAGAGTGTAATACATTTTATATATACTGAAGCAGGCTCACACATCAGGACACAGTTGCTGGCGAGTGTAATACATTTATATATACTGAAGCAGGCTCACACATCAGGACACAGTTGCTGGCGAGTGTAATACATTTATATACTGAAGCAGGCTCACACATCAGGACACAGTTGCTGGCGAGTGTAATACATGATTTAGCATTACTAAATACACTTGTTGTTAACTGGTCCTAGTTTTGTATGTAGCAATGGTTATTATTTTGGGTTTCCTGTGAGATGATCCACTCCATCGACTTGAAAGTAACTTGTTTCAAGTCTACTTTTCTCTCAAAATGTGCATTTCACTAGTTTGAGTAACTCCGATACTGTGCACACCTAGCTGAATGGCGCACATCGTAATAACAGTTTTATCTAGTGAACTAGTCACTAACTTAGCTGGCAATGCTGATGTTTGTATTTGAAACAATAAGGCGATGACAGTAAATGGCATTAAATATGGATCCCATAGCAACATATATTTATATAGTCAAATGTGTTGTTTATTTACCAAAAATTTAAATGCAGAGTTGAGAAGATCATCCTTCTTCGACTCTTAAGAAACAATATTCAACTAACTTACATCCAGTATCAGATATGGTCTCCTCCACTCCAGCTAATACCACTAATTCACATCTTATACCAATAAAACCATTACTACAACTGTTGAATTAAATGGACATTATTACTCACAAGTGTTGTGTTGACTCCTAAAATGATTGGCCTCAGGGATTGACCGTTAATTAAATGATTTGTTAAGTCAGTAATGATACAACCACCTGTAGTCAATTAAGGTAAAAGCCTAGTCATAATTTTTGACAAAATTGGTCATAAATCACATGACAATGTTAATTATGTACAATCATGAAGCTAATGTCATATGGTGCAATAAAATAGCATTATTTTGTGTATTACAGTTAAGATTTTTGAGAAACGTGTCCTAATATTTCTTAAAAATTGCTATGAACAATTCCATAGAACACAATGTTAAAGAAAAATTTCATTTTTTGAAACTTTTTAAAACCCAGGCTAGATTTTGGAGAAAATATATTCCAAGCGAAAATAAAGTATTCTACAGTATCTGTGGCATACAAATAATTGACTACAGTATTTAAATCATTGGTAAGTGATTTTATAATCATTAAATAATAATACTTAGTAATCAAATAATACGAGGTTATTACAAGGCTACTACAAAGTATGCACAAAGATGATAAAGCGGCAGTATTGACCGACGTGCAGTGGAGCGAAGGTCGATGCGATGGTGTACTGTCCGAGTGCATACTTTGCGGTATTCTCGTAATAACCTTATATTATACATCTATTCCTTCCAAGGATACATCATGGGAATGCCGAAATCCAAAACATTTAGAACAGAATCAGCGAACTTCTTTGTGTGGAGTCCAGTCAAACCCTGGTGGCAGCCATGTTTGTTTTTATTATTACACGCGTAATCATTCCATATTTGGAAGGATAAAAATACATCATAAAATACCGCAAAATTACATCATGCTGTAACTTGTGGCGTTACTGTGACAGATGTATAATAAAAGTTAATAGTGCATGATACAAGTGAACTTGTATACAGTGTACCTTGTAATGCTCATAATGTTATGGAAAATGCGCAATAATTTCCTGTATCATGCCCGGCCTAGCGCACTGTTTTCATCAATCTAAACAATGGTGTTTTAGGTCACACTGTGGTAAAATTATAATTAGACGTACAAAGTATACCGGGGGTATGATAAAATCATTATGAACTGGATACGGCTTTTGTTGCCCTTGGTCGTATAGCTTTCTCTGCACGACCTCTGAACACAAAAGCTGTATTCAGTCCATGAAGACCAAAATCACCTCAGCATTTCTGTACAGCATACAAGAGCTAGGAACCAGTACTTGAATTACACAGTCATTCCAAAGTTTTTTTTTTGTTTTTTTTTAAATTGTTATTGTGCCATGCGACAGTTACGGACATTGAATGTCACTTGTCTCTTCTGACTTTTTTTTTTGTAAGTGAAAATTGCAAGTGCTAGTGTTGACAGTGCATTTTGCCACAAAAGTCATTTCCTGCTTGGGACTACATGACAGGGCTGTGTGGCCATCTCCCTATCAAATGGCAATTTTAATGCGCTATCCTGGCGTCAACCAGGCCCGGTTGAACACAAGCACCTGCGGACCTTAACCAAGGTTCCCCCAAAGTCGCATTCGTTAGTGAATGAGTCTTGGCCAGTGGAATTGGCCTTCCCATTGAGTCTGTGGCACACTCGCCCAGGGTAGGGGGTCGACCCTTTGATGTTCAGCCTAAGGTATGATTTGAACTCGGGTCTACCGATCACGAATCTAATGCGACAACCACTATGCTACCAGTGACCGGTAGTCATTCCAAAATTGCATCCAACTTGCCAACCAACCAACCAGCATATGACATGTACAAAATGACATGTATATTTAACCGCAAATTGAAAGTTAATTATTAAGTGTACATACCTACAAGTTAATCCATGTTTATCTTCAATACACTTGCCACCATTAAGACAGTAATCATTGGTACAAAACAAAGGAACAAGAAAAGATAAATTCAAGTCACTCTTCTCATCTATTAGCGTCCCAGTTAGTTCTTCAGTGGTATACACGTCAGAAACGCCACTCTCTGCAGTGCTTTGTTCAGTTGTTGAAACTGACTGGTGTACTGCGGTGATTTTCTTTGTTGGTGTATTAGTATGGTATTCTGCAGTGGTTTGCTTCATGGATATATCTGAAATGGTATCATGTCCCATGATAGTTTTCTTTGTGGGTATATCAGACAAGGAATTGTGTCCGACAGTGATTTGCTTTATAGATGTATCCGACGAGGAATGGTGTACTGTTTTCATTTGATCTGTGGTTACATCTAATGTAGAAGGTTGTACTGTTATTGCTTCATCAGCTAAGGTGGACAATAATTTTTTTTCGCTGGACATAGCAGCCTGGGTCGATGCCTGGGTAGATTCCTCGGTAGATTCCTGAGGGGGCACTACAGTTTTTTCACTGGGAGAGACTGATGCAGTCTTCATAACTGACTCACTATATAATATAATGCCGACTTCTGAAACAGTAACATGTCATGATCATGAGGTAAACATTTTAAACAAGTCATTGAAAATGACACAGTCCCAGTTAAATTTTTGAAAGCTCTCTTTGTGCTTGTCATATTAAAGCGGAGGGGTTGTCGCGGGCGTGTCCTTGGAACTTGAGTTCCAAGTGGCGTATACAACATATTGTTTATTTACATCAAAACACGTGTTCCGTGTAGTAGTAATATGGCCAAAAATAAAAACAGTCGTTATTCGGCCATCTTTGATCCGATTATGAAACACACTGATATGTATGATGTATGTGCCAAATACGAATGAAAATGGTACATAAATTGTGGAAATATAGTGGTAAGGCCAAAAAGTCAGACGGCTGTCAATCGGCCGTCCTTGCCTAGATTTTGAAACAAATTGTCATGAACATGCATCCTGACATGTATAAAGTACATGTATGTGCCAAATTTTAATGAAAACTGACAGAGCACGTCCAAGATACCGCATATAAAAAAAACAAGATGCCTGCCAGTCGACCATCTTTGATGGAATTGCGAAATAAATCATCATGGACATGTATCCTAAGATGTATAATCTATGTACCAAGTTTGAATGACAACTGACAAAGCATGTCCACAATACAACATTTTTAAAAAACAAGATGGCTGCCACATGCAAAGAATGAACGAAATCTATCCACAGGATTCTGAAATATGACTCTGGACAGACTGACTGACAGACTGACTGACGGACAGACTGGCGGACGGGCAGACGGGCAGACGGACAGACGGGCAGACGGACAGACGGGCAGACGGGCAGACGGACAGACGGGCGGACGGACGGACAGACGGGCGGACGGACGGACGGACAGACGGGCGGGCGGACGGACAGACGGGCGGACGGACGGACAGACAAGCGGACGGACGGACAGACGGGCGGACGGACGGACAGACGGGCGGACGGACGGACAGACGGGCGGACGGACGGACAGACGGGCGGACGGACGGACAGACGGGCGGACGGACGGACAGACAGACAGACGGACGGACAGACAGACAGACGGGCGGACAGACAGACAGACGGGCGGACAGACGGGCAGACAGACAGACGGACGGGCAGACAGACAGACGGACGGGCAGACAGACAGACGGACGGACGGGCAGACAGACAGACGGACAGACGGGCAGACAGACGGACAGACGGGCAGACAGACGGACAGACGGGCAGACTGGCAGACGGGCAGACGGGCAGACGGGCAGACTGGCAGACGGGCAGACTGGCAGACGGGCAGACTGGCAGACGGGCAGACGGGCAGACTCAGGAACTCACGAACGGTCGGGGACATGTATCCTAAAATGTATGATCTATGTACTAAATTTTAATGAAAACTGACAAAGCATGTCGAAAATACAACATTTTCAAAAAACAAGATTGCTGCCAGTCGGCCATCTTTGATCCAATTGTGAAATAAATTGTCATGGACATGTATCCTAACATGTATAATTTATGTACCAAGTTTGAATGAAAATTGATAAAGCATGTCCAAAATACAACATTTTCAAAAAACAAGATGGCTGCCAGTCGGCCATTTTGAATCAAATCACTAAACCATTGCATGTACTAGGCATATACAAAGAATGAATGAACGGAATCGGTCCAAGGGATTTTGAGATACGACTCCGGACGGACGGACGGACGGACGGACGGACGGATGGACGGACGAACGGACGAACGGACGCACAGACGGATGGATGGACGCACAGACGCACGGAGACCGAATTATAAGTCCCCGTTTTCGGACTTCGTACTAACGGGGAATAAAAATGATATGTGTACATTTGTGCTGATAATCAGAAATAAATAAGAAATCAAATACCTTCACAACGAGTTGCTGACATATTTGATAACTGGTAACCAATGGAGCAAGCACAGCTAAAACCACCTGGTTTAAGAAGACACAAATGACTGCACTGACTGTTTAAACATCCTTTAAAACCTACAAAAGAAAACATGACACAATTTTATGTATACTACTTTCTTACACGACTGGTCTGGAAATTTCAAAGATAGAGCTTGTTATAAACACTAAATGGCCACCAGTCGACCATTTTGTATCTGACGTGCATGAAAACTAAGATCCGAATTTGCACTGGTAGAAATGCTTGATTTGGATGATTTTTTTTATTACTAAAATGGCCACCATTTGGCCATCTTGAATCAGATCATGAAACGAATGAATGTGCAAGATGTCATGTGATCGGCTAAGACATGTCCAAGAGATACAGGTTTAAACAAGGACAAATAAATGCATGTATCAGGTTTTGCCATGGTACTTTTGGGTATTTTTTGTTCCACTCATTATTACATTGGTCATCTTCACAAAAAAAGTTACCAACATGTGTGCAAACTAAACGAAGGTCAAAAAAAGCAGATGATTCTGATATACCCGGTAGCCTGTAATGTGTACTTCAAAAATAAGGGATTTCGAAATAGAAGATGGACTGAATATCAAATGAATTGTGCATTGTATGTACAAATGTATATGATTTAAGTCAGAGAACTTCTCCTTTCAAAGTGACTGACTTTAGAATCGTTTGCGATCCTTTGCAATTCTAGGCCAAAAACCTAATAAATTAAACTTAGTCAGGTAAGAAACAGAAAGAGAGACATGTGACTGCACCTGTTGGTGGGGGAGGGAGACATGTGACTGCACCTGTTGGTGGGGGAGGGAGACATGTGACTGCACCTGTTGGTGGGGGAGGGAGACATGTGACTGCACCTGTTGGTGGGGGAGGGAGACATGTGACTGCACCTGTTGGTGGGGGAGGGAGACATGTGACTGCACTTGTTGGTGGGGGAGGGAGACATGTGACTGTACCTGTTGGTGGGGGTGGTTGTCTAACACTATGTGCAACGACAACACCCATTGGATGGTGCAAACCAGATACTATCACTTTTAAGTCTTGACCAGTGAATTTATTGATTGACTCAATGGATCCTTTTGTCCAGTCTGTCCAATACAATCTATCTTCAAACAACGTTAAAGAGAATGGATGTGGCACTGTCAGCTCATCAAGTGACCTCCTATCAAGTAAAATGAAATAAATGCATTTTATGCGATACACTTAAAAACAGGCAGAAAAAACACCCAATCTGATTAAAATAAAATATTTTGGGCTTTTTTTTCATTTTTTATTTTATTTTATTTTTTATTTGGATCTATTATTTATTTGTTGCGAGTTTTTTAAAGTTTTGATAATTGTGAATGCCAAACAAGGTGATAGTTTAAAATATACCGAATCACAAGTACGTAACATAAAAAATACAGAATAATAAAAGTAAAATAAATATTATAAAATAAAATACACGCCGTACAATACATCAGATTTTAATCAGATTGAAAAACACCAGATGAATTCAAAAGACATAATCACAATTTTTGACAATATCAGTCATGCATTTGTCTAGAATGGACAAAAAACAAATCTGAAAACAAGCAGTTTAAAAAAAAAATATCTTGTATAAAAAATTGATAAAGAAATAACACTCAACACCAGATAGTAATGCTATACCGACTCAGTAGACCTGGAAAGGTATAAACAGAAATCCACTATAGAATACTTATTATTTGGCCAACATGCATGTTGTATGAAATCTGACAGTCACTAACTCATGCACAATTTTCCCATATTCCATTATGTTCATTTGGTTCAACATTAATAAAACAAGCCATGCATGGCACAGTCTCCTTAGTTATCGAATTTAAGATGTATAATTTTGTTTATAGTATTATAGTTCAAACATAAAAATGTCAGAGATATGGATCCAGAAGCTGATACTTGATTATGGTGATTCGTTAACACTGAAATGATTGACATTCAGTCATCTTGTATCTGATCGTCAAAGGAGTACTTGTCCAAATTGAGAGATATTGCTGTGTAACAGCATTAATTAAAACAAAATAGCAACTAGTTGTCCATTTTGAATACATCTGTATATCTTTAACATGATGTAGAATGAATATATAAAATTTTAAGTCAAATCAAGTCCAGAACTACATTCATGACCACCAGTCAGCCATTTTAAATCAGATTTGAAAATAAATTAACGTGCATTAGGGACCCATATATATACCCATATATGTCTTATGTATGTACCAAGTTTTAACAAAATCCATCCATAAACGACCAAGATCCGGTTCCACAACGCAGAAATGCTTTATTTTTGATAATTTTTTAGTACAAAAATGGCCGCCACTTGGCCATTTTGAAACAGATTTATCTTTGTCATGATGTATAATGAATATATAAAATTTGAACATAATCAGTCAAAGCATGTCAGAGATATGGCACTAGAACTGCATTCATTAAAACAAAATCACCATTAGTCTGCCATTTTAAATCCGATCAGAAAAACAAAATGACTTGCATCAAGATCCCATAATGTCCAACGTATGCCCCTAAGTTTGAACAAAATCCACCCATAAATGACGATGAAACTGACAATATCATACTTTATGTATTATTGACAATTTATTTTGAAATTACTTACAAAAATCCTTTAAAATAAGAAAACATATCTCACCGTTCTGTTCCATCAAAATTGGCGTACTCTATGACATTAAGCCCGGCATCAACCCAGTAAAGTCTTTGATGTACATAATCAATTGTAATTCCATTGGGGTAAAGTAACTTGGTTTTGATGATTACTTCTCGATTGGATCCATCCATCCAGGCCTTTTCAATTTTAGGTTCAATTCCCCAGTCACTCCAAAACAAAAGACTGCGACACCATGTAATTAATCATAAGAGGATACAAATCCACAAATGTAATTTACACGATAGTAACCATAGAAACTATAAAGGTTATTAGAAAATTTTTTAGGAAAAGAAAAATTAAATGAGCAGTACTTGACAAGCACTGCAAATTAATTAAAAGGTACACACAATAATTTTTTTTTTTTTTTTTTTTTCTGAAATGACAATTTCTGATTACAATGTCATATTGTGCCACATTTTAAAATAGTAAGTGCTTTTTAATGACAATATTATTTTCACCAACAGTTTTTACCTAAAATTTAACATAAGCGGATAGATTGTACGTATTACCCCACCCTAGAATGCACAGCAATGACCCATTGCTCACCCCAGTGGATGGGTTGTACTCACCCTACACTAGGACACACAGCAATAGCCCTTGGATCACCCAGTGAATGGGTTGTACTTACCCTACACTATGACACACAAC